CCATCCCCTAAATACGCTCCCCTGCACTGGGGCCAATACTTCCTATCAGACCGCAGCGTGCACAGATGCAAACAGCCCCTAAGGAGACCTGAGGGTGGCTGGAGCACAAACCACAGGAGAAGGCGAGAGGGAATCCCCTGCAGGACAAAGGTGACACACAACCCCTCAAGGCAGTTGGCTAAAGGCAGCCAGCTGAAGCACCAACCTCCCAAAGAGACCCAGGGCTCTGAGACACCCAGGGAAATGGCACCAAGTGCCCACAAATCGAACAAAAAACAGAAGCTGCTTCCACAGTTTCAACAAGAAAAGAAACAAAATCCAATGCCAGAGGACCACCTGGACCTAACAGCAGTCAGAGAAAGGGCAGAGGTTGACCTCCCACAGAGAGAAATCTTCAGAATGCTGCTTGGAGCCATGCAGGACATGAGGGAAGCATTACAGAAAAAGGATGAAATGATAGAGGAAATAAAGGCTATGCACCAAAGGGAAAGGATGAGATAAAAACTAATAGCAAACTCATGCACTTTGCCCAGAGAATGAAGGAGGCAGAGAACCCCACCAGTGACCTAGAGGATTCACAAGCAGAAATTAATAAACGTGAGGAAATGTCTAACAAGTCCCATCAGAGAAGCTGAAGTAAACCTCAGAGCTATGTCTGACACCATGAGAAGGAGCAACATCAGAATTATCGGCCTGCCAGAGGCATGCATATCAAAGAAACCAACATCCAAAATAGTAATGGAATGCTTGGAGGAAAACTTCCCTAACTTAATGAATGAAAACCAGGCAATTATACAGGAGGCCGAAAGACCGCCAGCTAGATTGAATCCCCAGAAGAAGTCAACAAGACATATAGTTGTTAAACTACCCAACTATAAGGAAAAGGAGAAAATTATGAGAGCTGTTAGGGAAAAACAGGCAAGCAGATAAGAATATGCTCAGACCTGTCAGCAGACACGATGAGACAGTGGAGCAGCATATTCCAAAAATTGCAGGAAAATAACGCAAACCCAAGACGATCCAGCCAATTATCTTTCAAAATTGATGGAGAAATTAAGAGTCTTCCTGAACAAGGAAAGCCTCAAAGAATATGCTAAAAGGAACCCAGCACTACAAAAGATCCTCGCTGACCCAGTATGGGCAGAAGAACAACACTCACCAAGCACATAGAAGAGACCACCACACAGAACAACTCTACCCAGATACCATCAAAGGGAAAACA